ATTCTATACTCAATGTTTCTTTTGACTATTTGTTTGTATCATTATTAAAGGAGAAAATTAATTCATTCCTGACCTTTGACTTTCGATTTGATAATTAAACCATCAAAAACATTTACACATTGGTATATGTTTTATAAAATGAAAACTCTTTTTTCTGCAGAAAATTTTTTTTTTCTTGCTTTGCAAACTATTGTTATGGTTATTGATAATCTTCAGACAATTAGATGAAAAGAGATAACAAAGGAACAAGTAACATTTTTTAAAGGTAATTTTAAAAGGATATCTGATATTTCAATATAAACTACACTTATTAAATTTTCTAAGCAAAATAATATTATATATCATCATAATGTCTTTTTATTATAATTAAATATTATCCATTGATTTCTAAATAATTTGTAATTTATTTTACCTTATATTTTCACACTAAATATCATTACCACATACTGATTAATGTAGTTTCGTTGTAACATTCTCCCGTTCTTGCATCACAACTCTCACAAATACACTTTTCTTCGCATATATTTCCAAAATATCCCTCTGGAAAAAAATTGCTGCATTCAATTCCAAATGATCCAACACAAGCTAAACCAGCGATGATTCAGTGAAAACAATAAATCATTTTACATTTACAGCAAAACAGAGGTATTCTAAATTTTGAGAAAGGTCGAGGCTAATTAGGGATGAATTCTTGAAATGGTGGAAAATCAAAGATATAAATCTTATCCTAATATTTCATGCTCAAAAAAGAAAAAAAAACTTACGGTAACATTTGTCTTTAAATGTTCTATAGCCGGCACAACATCGGTAGGGACCACCTCTAGAATATATTCATTACAATATCATAATATGCAGTGTTTTTTTAAAAAATGAGTTCATTAAATCAACACATCAACAATGCCACATTATTTTAGCAAAGCTTCCTACAAATCAAAGTGTTTAAAAGGGCCTTTAGTCAACGTTTAAGCACCTACTGTCTTTTTGAACAAAGTGGATCCACTGGTTTTAGGTCTATCGGTGTATTTTCAATCAGCAGAAAAGACAGCGATATGAACAATCTTATGAAATACATTTTTATGTGCGTCAATATACTGTATTGTAGTTTCCTCATACACACTGGTATATTTTAATTGAATGAAATATAAGGTCTGACCTCCATCGTGCTCTCTATTGTGAACGATATCAATAAGCTGTTGACAAGTCTTAATCAAAGATAAGCGCAGAGTGAGAGTGATGTGCGCTAGTGTTTTGAAAAAAAAACAGCTTATTAAATATTGCTCAAAATAGAGAGAGCGTTAAACATCTCAAAATAAGTACAATATTAAACGAAGAACAATTAAAAAAAAACAAACCATAAAACAACTTTGAAACTGTATACTATCTACATACCTCGTCACGTATAATTGTTTTTAAATGTTAAGCGCTTTGGGTCATCAAAAAACATAAACAGGGACTACATAAAGTAGTATAATTATTATTATAACTATAGCAAAGCTCGTTACAAAGCAACGAGTAGGTCTTCCGTCCAGTTTCGACCGAAAGTGATGTCAACAAGAGAAAGCAATGAGTTAACACGTCTGCAAGGACTTAAACATTTTAAATTTTTCAATTTTGCGTCAAAACCTGCAAAATAAGCTATTTTTGGCTACTTCCGATTTGAGCGGAAGTGATATCAAGGGATGAAAATTCTGGTTGGAGGATTATCGTTCCATAAATTAACCAAAAACATGTTAGAAAATGCAAAATTTTAATTTAATTACTTCCGTTTTCACCGGAAGTGATTTCATGCGACGAATTTAGACAATTTAGGCATCATTTCCGGCTGACATCAAAGTCATAAGTACCAAAAATCATTGAAAAAACTCAAACAAAACTATTTTATTCTATTTCTTTCGACTCAAGGGAGAAAGTTTAATTTTTCGACTACTTCCGGTTTACACCAGAAGTCATCCCAATGGATGCGCTTTGCTGACGATTGTAAATGTGAACTAAGTTTAATTTGCCTTTATTCAAACCGGTTGAATTTTTCAAAAAATCTTGAAATTGAATATCACTTCCTGTGTCGACCGGAAGTGACAGATGCAAAATCAAAAGACGCCATGCATAACTCAAAGAGATGTTTTATCATCCCCGAAAATATCTTGATTCAATTTTGAGTGTTTAACAAAAAGATGCTTGGACATAATGGCAATTTAAAAAAAGGAAATCGGACAAAAAATGTGACCGGAAGTGATATTCCGAAAAATAAAAAAAAATTGTCTTGAGATATAACAACAACTCATCATTCCTGTAAAAATCTTTGAAATCGGTTCAGTAGTTTCCGAGAAATCACGTGTACTATGAAAAGGGAATAATAATAATAATAATAATAATAATAATAATAGGAAACAAGAAAAACAATAAGCTCTTCCGATTTCTGATGCCACTTCTGACAGCTTTTGGCGGCTAAGGTTAAAGTTTTATATATGAAAGTCAAACTCCAAAGTCAGAGATGAAAATATGAATGTTTTTTGTAAAATATGATTTCTAAGCACCAAAAACTCAAAATTAATGGTAAAGATTAAACTTTTTAAATCATGAGTCAAACTCTAAGATCAATGTCAAAGAGTTAAATTAAAAGTGACCAGGGGACAGTCCTTTCTTGTGAAATGTACGTGAAACATAAGAGGCATAGCCCCAACTGTTCAAAAGTTATGACCAACGTCAATGGTTCCAAAGTAAGTCAAACTCTTAGGTCAATGTCAAAGGTCAGAAATGTTGGTATTCGAATTAATATCTTGTCATAAGACATACATCTGTGAAATATACTCACCGTCAATAGAAACGCAACACCCTAATTTTAGGGTGAAAATTTGAAACAGGTTATAACTATGTACCAAAGAAGTTAGGACATCTTTTACTTTGCCAAATCAGTTATTTTACGGTTGAATGAATTTCTTTCCATTACCGGAAGTTGCTTTTTTGGTGAGATCAGGTGCCAGTGAAAAGTGAGCATTCCCTGCTGACCACTCACACCCACCGTGTGCTCCTTGCCATGATAGGGAAACAACGGAAAAATCCGTCGTCAATTCAGTGTATAAATAATGGCCTAACAATAAGAATGAAAAACGTCAGTCAGCATTTGACTCAATGATAAATTGTATTTGCTGACCAGGTAATTGTATCGACCAAAGAACTTACGAAATGATGACTTTAAGCAAGACTGTCGATGTTCTTGTTTCATCAACTTGTTTGTCAATAATTTACCTCGTTTTGAAATTGTTCATACGTAGAGCATGCGCTTGCGTATCGAATTAACTGATATATATAACTGATATATACATATATATATATATATATATATATATATATATATATATATATATATATATATATATATATATATATATATATATATATATATATATATATATTGCTACCCTTGGGAATTCCAATAGATTGTTTGAAGAACTGGTCTCCAAAAAAGCACATAGATATTGTTAATCAGAAACTCAAGCATCTTTTTGATGTCAACTTCATTTTTGTGTGTGTAATCAGAATGTGTTTTAACAAAATAATTTTGCAAATAACCAATGCGTAAGTAAACTTATGAGTTCCATTTTTATTGAAAAAGCAGCTGTCAATGACATCAAAAAGCCTAGTCTTCAATTTATCGTGGGGAATGGTTGTGTATAAAGTTGAAAAGTCGTTAGTTTTTAAGCTGTTGATTTTGATAAAATCTTGTGATTTCAAATTGTCCAAAAGTTATTTGGAATTTTGAGTATCCACATCTGATTCACACCACTTCTTGAATATATTCATGTAGAGTTCTCTTAAAGCTTTTCCTTCACTAATGTCAATATCTTAGTGAGGAGTAAAGAAAAAGGCTTGGTTGAGCATTTACTGGATATATGTAAATGGTAATTTAAAATCATTTTGGTTCTTCGGGATATTAAAAATATTCAAACCTGAGATATGATTTTGAAGAATTTCTTCCTTAGAAAGGGAACTATGAGTATAAGTTGGATTGCCATTTGTAGAATTAAATCCAAGTTCTTCTGAAATACATTTGATTCAATGATATGATAATAAGAATATGTAAACCAATCCATGTCATCTTATCTGTTTACGTTTGCTGAAATTTCAGAATATATTTTAGGTGCAACGTGAAAAAAATCATTAGGTATCCGGCTCATAGGATCTACAACCTGAGAGGGAGACTCACATACATTAAATGCTAATTACAATGATATATTTCTGAAATTTATTCCACTTTCTGTAATTTTTAATCTGTTCAAATTGTATATCCACTAGGAAAGCATGTCTAACTTTAAAGCAAAAATATTTTTTTGCAGCATGCCCACACAGTATCATAAATTTAGATACACTTTGAGGCAACTATATTAAAATTTATTATTATTTTTTTCTATTCAAACTAAGAAATTTAAAAATGAAAAGATAATTTTAATAACAATAAATAGACACATTTTTTCTTAGAATTTTTGTTGGGGTCAAATAATTGTATCATTTCTTTTATAGATGTAGAACGTGGTTCTCTTGCTGTTTTGTTTTGCAGTGATAGTGCGTATTTCGCTGTTTGTAGTTGACTTGGTTTTGGCCGTGTAAGTGTTGGTTGTGGTTGTGGTGGTTTTATTGTCTCTGCTGCTGCTCCTGGTGGCGGTGGTTGTGGTGTTGTTGGTGACGGTGGTGGTAGTACTTCCGCTGCTTCTGTTGGATGTTGCTGTGGTAGTGGATCTTGTCCAATTCCAGATGACTCTGTTGTGTGTGTTTCCATGTCAATAACATATATCCTCTGTTCCTTACATTAGTTTCTGATGCTTGCATTCATAAGGATATAGAGAGAATAGCTGGCTTTGCCTTCTTTCTGAGAAACATTTCAGGGTTATTATATCTATCGAAATGGCTTTCAGAGTCTGGATAAGTTGGATCAAGATAATTCAAGGAAAGTGGCTCACATTCGTGGTAAATGTTTTCCTCAACTCTTGCGTAGCTTTCAACCGCTAATCGCCAGGGGTGGAACTTTCAGGCATATAATTATTATCTGAATTCGACGATATTTTCCTTGAAGATCTACATTGATAAAGTAGTTTACATGATTTTCAGAAATTGAATTGACCTGAATGATATCACCTATACTTTATATTTTTCACAGCATTCATTGTCATGCCAATTTTTATTTTTGTTAATTTGGTATGCATATCGTTAAACTTTAATTTCAAGTCTAAATTTCGATCGCACTCGAAATGTGTTAGCAGCAACGTTTAACGTTTATTGTATTCAGTATTTCATGAACATGGCTGTATATAATTAATATATCTTTTGTAAGATAAAAATTGTCTTAATTTAGTATACCACATTTTTTTTTCAACCTATGTGAAACGCTTGTTATTCGAGAAATCATAGAAATACAATAAATAAGTTTCATAGATCAATGCGTTTCAAAGAATTGTTTGGTTAAAATGATAAATGAAAGACTACTTCGATAGGACAATATCATTTTATTTTTGTCTTCCATATGATGTTTGGTTCTATCTAAAATTGACTGTCACAGCAATTTAACTTACGTTTTTCTTTGAAACGTTCCCCTTTTGTTTTATTACATCTCTCACATGGACATTCTTCTTGACATTTTACTCCATAGTATCCTTCATGACATGACTTACTACATTCCACACCACACTTTTGACCCCACGCATGCTGTATTTGAATTTAAACAGTAACAGCAATAATACGCAATTTTTTTTACATCGTTTTGTAGACCTATATTATATCATTATATCTTTTATGTCCTAAAATCGATTAACAAAATCACTGTTATTGTTAAACAGTTAAAAATTTCATTTAAAGGCCAATTACGGTAAAATTTTCTGTTAACTGTTCGGTAGTAAGTACAACATCGATTTATTTTTCTGAAACACAAATGAATGATTCCTACACTCCGAATGCCATGAAGTCTATGATTTAAAAATTGTTTACAATATCGCACAAATTTTAATAAAAGTTAACGATTAATTTCTTACGTAAACGGATCGATACATATTGTGTCCAACAGCTTCTTCCTCTTGATCAAAGATCTAATTTTAATTAGATTGTCTCTTGATAGGTATTCTTAATCCAAAAAATGAACATTAATTTGATATAGCCAAAGTACCGCATTGTCTATGTACTCTGATCAGTAAAATCAATTCTTCTAATCGTCATGTTATCAGTTTACGAACGTCGCCAGGCTTTTAATTTGAAAGGAATTATCAAAATATGTAAAAAAGGAAAAATCAGTAGGATGTGTGAACCTTAGTTTTGTTAATGACTTGTACATTAAACTTTTAAGGACAAAAGCAATAAACGAGGGTCGTTATAAATTTACTAATCATACATGTACCTACTTTTGACACTAGTAGAAATTGACTGTTGGGCATTTTAATAATTTGAATTTGAATATTGTCTCTATCAAATGCTGCACATCTGTTGTTAATTGTAAATGAGTTGTCATAATTGCTTCAATCTGTCAGATTTATCTATTTTGAAATTAGCCATGATTGATATGACCAGATGCACTGGTTTTAAGTTATTGATTATTGTTTATTTAAAAATATAACCTTTACCTCTGCTTGTAAATCATATAAGTCACATATATATTACTCAAGTTTGTCAACTATTAATCATGTCAGTAAATACAAATTTTTTCCTAATACTCAGACTTGCCAATACTTTTTCCGAAGTTAGTAGTTGACACAAATGGACACCGATTGCAAACAATGCCGGTGCATTTAGCAGTTTGAGAAAGGTATTTTATATTTCTTAATAGTATTCAATGCTAGTGACATATACAGCGTGTCTTTAATGATGATTTTAAACAAGACTGCTGATATTTGTTTCATCAAATTGTTTGTCAGTCTCGTTTTATATATTTTACATACGTAGTGTATGTTCTTGCATATCGAATCAACCAAAAGATACAAACTTCATATACAGGTGATGAAGCTACAGCATAATTGGAAATTTTAGCGAGACGCAATTTTAGCGTTTTGTCTTCAAAAATCGGTATATAATATTTAGCGAGATGTAATTTTAACGATTTTAAAAAGCATAATAAATAAAGCGCAATTAATTTTGACACCCTCGCTAATAATGCCAAAATCAAATCCTCGCTAAAATGCTGCATAAGTAAGGAAATTAGCATTTGAAAAGTTTTAAAAAGCCATCATGTGTATCATAGAGCTTGGTTGTTAAATTACCATTTACATCCTTTTCATTTAAAATATCCAAATATGAAAAAGATGTGCCAGACCTTGAGATATCTTTTATCTCAAGCTTACCGGGATACATTGTATATCGTATCAACATAAAAATGGAAATAACCATTGTTAATTGATAATATTTAAAGTTAATATATAATAATATGTTATATAATACTTAATCGATATACTAGTATTTAAATTTGGAGTTGAAGGCCAAAGCAAATGTTTTCTTCTTTTCGCGTACTAGTATAGGATTTGGGACAATTTTGCTTCATATGGATAAAATTAGGTCTGATAATAACGGGCGTAATTGGTACCCATGGGAATTCCAATAGGGAGATTAATTTACCTTGGGGAACGGTTGTGTATTAAGTTGAAAAGTTGATTTTGGTAAATGAAACATACACAGATAACAAAGAGCATTCAAGATCAAACATCCATGATAAAACTATACAAAATAGAAGCAGAGCAAACACAAGCCTTCAAAACATCAGTGGTGGGATAAGGTACCATGGAGGAGTGAGCATCCCCTGCCGACTAGTCACACCCGCCGTGTGCTCCTTACCATGATCGGGAAAAAACAGAAAAACCGTCGTCAATTCAGTCTGTAAATAAGTATTTAAAAAAAAAACTCAGGCAGCATTTGACTCAATGATAAATTGTATCTGCCGACAAGGTCATACCCCATAGAACTTACAAAATGATCACTTTAACTGCTGATATTCTTGTTTCATCAACTTGTTTGTCAATAATTTACCTCGTTTTAGAAATTGTTCATACGTAGAGCATGCTGTTGTGTAGGTCCAAAACTCTATGTCCGACTTATAGACGATTTTTAAAAAGAATGGTATTTTAGAAGATCAATCCCTTTGATATATAAACTTGAAAAATACAACAGACTTATTATGAAATCACTTATTTTCGTGGGATTCAATTTTCATTATTTTCGAGGTATTGAGAGACCCACGAATTTGTGACAACCACGAAATGTAAAATTTTATATGCTCTACTCCTAAACATTTTTTAACCACGAATCTAAATCCCCTCAAACAAATATTTTTTTCCTCATACCTCGAAAATTTGACCCCACGAAAATATATAATTTTACAGTGTAGGCGGACCGAGTGACAGGCGAGTATATACGGTACATTGCTGCATAAATAAGGGAAGTTGACGATAAAAAATTACCATTAAATTACTATTAACGTCTTTTTCAAGTATATATGTAATATCCAAAATGAAGAAGATGCCTCAGACTCTGTGATATCTTTTATCTCAAGCTCATAAGGCTATATTGTATCGAAATAAGAATTGAAATTACCAATTGCAAACTCTATTGATTTAAAATTTTCCAAAAGTTTCTTGGAATTTTTAAGTATCCGCATCTGATTTACTCCACTCCTCAAATGTATTGTTGCACAATACTCTTCAAGTTTCTCCTTCACGACTATTAATATCTTAGTGAAGAGTGCAGAAAAAGGAACGGTGGAACATTTACTGCAACGCGCTATAAATTTTTGTTTGTAAAGAGTTTTAAGAAGTTTTGGAATCCAATATAGGTATGGTAATTCAAATTCATTGTGGTTGTTGGTATATGAAAAATATTTAAAACTGACATATTATTTTGAGGAATTTCTTGCTTAGAAAGGGAACTACATGCATGAGTATATTCTGGATTACCACTTGTAAAATTAAATCCAAGTTCTTCTAAAATACAATTTATAATGAGCCTTACAAACGAAGACAATGTCGTTACCTGCTTTGTCAACATGGACCAGGACGTACTGATCATCTAAATCTATCTAATTCTTTTTTCACTTCTGGACTATTAATACAGAAGGCTAGATGATTTTCATTTTGCCCCTCAATCTTTTAATACGCGATTGCAACATAGATCTTATACATTTAATCCATTCTGGCAAAGTGTCAATGTTTTCTTTTTCATATCTGGTCCCTCGCCTGGCGTAATACCAGTATTCAATAGAATCCATAATATTTATGAAATTCCGACGCCAGGTGATGTGTCAGGGTTCTGTATATTAAGAACCTTTTAAAAATTGTATTCTAATGTCCTCATTTTAAACAACATTTACGTCACCAGTAATAATGTGTCCAAAAGGACGAAAGTTTGAGGATGAAGAAGAACTTGAACACGATGGAGGATTATGTTTCAGATATTCGATATCCAGACCCTGTAAAGACTGGACCTTTTTGTGATTTAAATTATGTATTATATTAACTGCATCAATTCCTTTATTGGCATATTGAAGTTTAAGGAAAAGACAGATTTTTTAGCTGCATTTTCTTCAGTAAAACGGAGGGGGGTGGTTGAAAAACTATGATTTGCAATATTCAATATCAAAGATCTGGTGTCTTGGTTTCAAGAAATGGTTGCTCTTTGACCTTTTTAAGGAATTTATATGTAAATATAAGCTGTTTATTTAAAATATTTTTATGTATTTTTTTAAGTGACAAAAGTAACTGGACAGCACAGGAAGTGTTATTAAAGTATGTTGACATATAAACCTTTTTTCTTTTAAAAGTAAGACAGCTTAAAACAGAATCAATATCTATATTTTTTTTATTTTGGAGGAAGGGGTTATCTACATTTTTTTTAATTTCTTCTACATTTTTGGTATGTTCAATTATATTGAAATAAAATCTTAAGTTTAAATTAGTTGAAATTTTTCCTGGATTAATTTAATTTCAAATTAAAATTTTAACATTACTTGGAAACACTTAACATTTTAAAAGATAATTTCCGATTAAAAATGATACAAGCACAAGGGCTATTTACATTGGATGAACCAACACACGGACTTGAAAGTAAAT